CTGCTGCTGCTGCTACTGCTGCTGCTGCTGCCACTGCTGGTGCTGGTGCTGCTGCTGGTGCTGCTGCTGCTGGTGCTGCTTACCGCAAGGAACTGGCCAGGGATGAAAAGAGACAGGAGAGACAGCAGCAGACTCGACGCAGCAAAAGGGAGATGGTGGAGGAGACGATCCCCGGTGCTTCGAGCGAAAGTGCTGCAGCAGCAGCAGCAGCAGCAGCAGCAACCGCAGCAGCGACTATATGGACGCAGATAGAGCACATATTGCTGCAGCAGCAGCATCTGCTCCAGAGTCTGCAGCAGCAGCAACAGCAGGAACAGCGCCGAAAGCTGAATTGGCACCACAGCAGCAACAGCAGCAACAACTGCGGCAGCAGCAGCAGCAGCAGCAGCAGCCCTACGCTGAAGTTGTGGCATCCCTCAACAAGTGCAGCAGCAGCGCGAATACACCCCATGCAGAACTGCTGCAGCAACTGCTGCTGCTGGCTTCCGCTTGCTGCTGCAGCAGCATCAGCAGCAGCACAAGTCTCCGCAGCAGGATCGCCAGCTGCTGCTGCTGCTGCTGCTCGCCTGCTGCACTTGAGCACCCTAGAGTCCTGCAGCAGAGCCCAGCTGCTGCTGCGCAGCAGCGGGTGCTGCTGCTGCTGCAGCGAGAGGGTGTATATGTACGTTTTGCCAACCACCAGTCGAGGCAGCAGTAACGGCTGCTGTTGCTGCTGCTGCTGCTGCTGTTGTTGCTGCTGTTGCTGCTGCTGTTGCTGCTGCCGTTGCTCCTGCTGCTGTCGCTCCTGCATGAGACTAGCTGCAGCAGCCGGTGTTGCTGCGGAAGCCTCTTGGTTTCCTGTTAATGGCTCACAACCGCTGTGCTGCTGCTGTTGCTGCTGTTGCTGCTGCTGCTGCTGTTGCTGTTCCTGCTGCTGCGGCGGCAGCTCCAAGTGCTGCAGCTGCTGCAAATCCGCGACACGCCGAACCCGCACATCTGGCGGCAGCAGGGCGTTTAGCTGCTGCTGCAGCTGCTGCAGCACCGCTGGAGGCAACACCGCCTGCTGCTGCTGCTGCTGCTGCTGCTGGTCTAGCTGCCGTTGCCACTCTTGCTGCTGTGGCTGCTCCTCAGGCTGTAGCCCTTCCTGCTGCTGCTGCTGTTCCTGCTGCTGCTGCTGCTGCTTTCGCCGTTGCTGCTGTTGCTGCAGCAAGTGATGCCAATAGGGAATAAGGGGAGAGGCGACCTGACACAACTGCAGCAGCAGCAGCAGCAGCAGCAGCAAAAAGCAGCTCAGCGAAAGATAGACCCCCTGATACCGACTAAAGCTTC